TCCTCCCGCTGCAGGATGCGCAGGAAGTTGTGAAGCTCCGGTAGGGTGAAGGCGTCCCACTGCGGGCACACAGACCGCCGTCACGGTGCATCCCCCCAGCGGTCACATCCCCCGAGGGGGCGCAGGCGTCCATCCCCTCCCCATCCCTGCACTCACGTTCACCTCCCCGGTCTCGTTCTCCTTTAGGACGAAGCTGAGCACCTTCTCGCTGGGACCAGCCAGCAGCCGCAGCCGCAGGGGCTGCTCCTCATCGGCCAGCTTCCGCAGGTACACTGCAACAGCAGCCAGGCGTCATGAGGGGCACAACACTGTAGGGACATCATCACCACGGGGACATCCCACCAGAGGGAACATCACCGCCATGAGGGACGCGCCCATAGTGACAGGGGACGCTGCCACCAAAGGTGGATACCGCTGCTACAGGGACACTGCCACCACGGGGCTGCTGCTGCTGTGGGGACATCCTTACAGCTACCGGGACACTGTCACCAAGGGGGATACCATCATGATAGGGATGCTGCCACCATGGGGACACCACTGCCCTTGGCCCTTGGGATGCTGCCACCACAGGGGACACCACCGCCACAGGGATGCTACCACTATGAGGGACACCACCGCACTGGGGACATCGCCACCATGGAGCTACTGCCACCACAGGGACAGGGCCACCCCAAGGCGCTACCTTGCTCATCCTTCTCGGACCTCTCAAAGAGGGCGAACTTGCGGGGGTTGTCAACGACGGTGAACTTGCGGAGGAGGGCATCAATGACCTCGCTGGCCCGGGTGTGTGAGAAGATATGCAGGTGTTTGACGGTTCCCTTGGGCAGGTAGAAGGATGTGCGGCGCTTCACCCCTTGGGTGCGTGGCCCCGTTCGCCCCGCCTGCAGGGAGGGCACCCGCTTGGTGGCTGGCACTGAGACTGGGCGCACCAGCTTCAGCTGCACCTTGATGAAGCCGGTGTAGGAGCCATCCTTGTTCTGGAAGACATCAAAGGAGGGCTGAGCAGGGCTGGGGCAGAGCACTATGACCCACCCCAGCCCCACACCAACCACATACCAGGCTCATGAAGAGGTTGCTGTTTATCTGGCTGTTGTACTCCTTGATCCGTTGCTCCACCTGCGCCTGGTCCAGCTCTGTTTTCTCCCACTCACTGGGCTCATCCTGTGTGACGGG